CCGAATCAGAAGTTTTCTGTTTGGCGCCAGAAGCTGCCTATCGGCTTAGAATTTTTTGTTAATCATAAAGGAGCGTTAAATTTGTCTTTGTCGATTTTCACCCATAGCTGCTTTTTTGAAAATTTGCGGATCCAATCAAACTTTTGAAAATCAGAAAAGATTGAAGCTGTGATTACAACGACAAATAATGAAACGACTCTTAAGGAACTTCATGCTCATAACAACAGCATGATGCGTACGGGACATCCAGGTGATGCCAAAGCAATTGCAATTAGCAGTAGGCCTCCAGGTATTACTAAATCCTTATAAATGTATCCCACACTAATTATTTCTACATATTTAGGCTCCTTGTCCCAAGCAGAACTTCGTGGCGAAGAACATCCATCACCGAGGCCGCCGAAGACTGTTGTACGTAAGAAGGACGACAAAAGCACTGCTGCTCAGCTGTTGTTCTCGCAACTCATGAATGTTAGTCTTTAGAAAATAGTAAACTAAAGCATAATGATATCATTCGAGGTCCAGCCGAAGTTCAGAGATACGCAAAAATTTTGTTTACAGTCGCAATCACAATCTCCTTCACAAGTTACGGTGTCAGCCGATTGGCTCAGCGCATTTCTACTCAACAATCCCACTCTGCTCCCTTTACTACAGCATGGACATACTGGACATGGAGACACAGAGGTATGAGTTTTTATGCTTGGGGAAAACTAACGCAGAGGAGCACTCGGTTGAATAATTGTGAAAGTAACTTGTTTTGGTTCTGTAATCGATTTTTTTTATTACGGATGTATCAAGAATGGCCATAAAAACTAGTAGAGGAAATTTGAGTTGCTGAAAGAAATTCTAGGATACGCTAAGGGAACGTTCCTTAGTTCGAGAGTTTTTGCTCCCTTCTCCCTTTCCCCATTCTCCCTTCTCCCCTTTCCTTTGCACCCAAAATTTCTTGGAATTGGTCGAATGTTCTGACCTTTTTGTATGCCGCAATTTTTGGCTTCATTATCTTAAAGCCTCTGGTACTTTCGACAAATCTCTTCTCTCATAATTTTTGATGTCTTATGAACTTATAGCTCTGTCAGGTATGAATGTAAACTCGATCAGTCATGCAGCGGTCCTTTTTTATCTTTCGCTTAGATCACTGCATGGTCTCCAGATATTTGGAACTGGCTTGAGAAAAAAGCTTTTTT